TGTAATTGCCTCGATTCTTTCCTCCTTCCGCAATAAGTTCTGCTTGTAAGGTATCTTTGGTAGTGACCTTTTTTTTTGTGTCTCGAGGTCGAATATGTCGTCCAACAGAATTTCCAACTCCACTTTCCGGGCCATCTCACTCGGTCTGGACATAACGTGACAGTTTATGCCCAGATTTAGGAGAGTGACTTGGTCCTCAGTGAGGTTAATTCCTGCAAGGTTCAGGAAGCCATCTCTTGGTCGTGGAATTGCCATAGGTCCTCCATATAACGTTGTTAGTTTCTTGATAATCCTTGTTTCAGTGCTGAGGTGATGTCGGTCTGTGAGGATGTCGAGGTGTTGTTCAATGCGGGTACGGATACTTTCGTCGATGTTGCTATTTCTCCACTCGTTCGTAGCCTGAATAGTTGCGTTTTGTTGTCTTTGATTTCATTCTCTGCCTTGTATATCTGATCACGAATCAGATCCTGGCGATATTTTATCGTGAAGGCTTGATTCCTTGCTGCTGGGTCGTGCATTTTAATATTAGTATATTTTGGTAGCAGTCTTTCCTGTAGACATATATTATTAAATATGACCGAAAAAGTAAGATTAATAATTCTAACACGAATTTTCTCAATCTTTCGTACATTTCTTTTCACTGTTGGAGGTAATTCAAAAATCAATTCTCCAAAATTCATTTTTATTTCTAGTCTGACGCGACACTTGAGCGCGTTTCGTAAAACTTATTACATTTTCAAAGACTTTAGTTAACATATACACAACTGAATAGAACTTACTGAATAGAATAGAACATCTCCGATTTTGTTTATATCTACATGTGAGTGAGGTGGATGGGGTGAGGTGGTATTTAATAAGGTATTAATTTCATCAACAGAAGCCAGAACATGAAACAATGGGTATTGAATAGAAGTGATTGTAGAAAGCCTATTGGTCCATATTTCTTGATGCTTCTATATTGGAACAGAGTCTTGAGGTGGGTAGAATATAGTTGTGCATTAATTGGCTGTTGATTGCTGGTGTTGACTTCTTGATGTGTAATGCCTCGCAAACGTCAAGCCATGGGTTCTCCCCTAGGTGTCCTGTTTGCAAACTTCTACATGGGTACAATCGAGCAAAAAGTCTTAGTCGACATGAACATGAAACCGGCCATATACTGCAGGTATGTTGACGACATTTTTACACAGGTACCTTATGTCAGACATCTACAGGAGTTGAAGGAGGCATTTGAGCGGAGTTCCGTGCTGCGTTTCACTTATGAGATGGAAAAGGATGGGAAACTGCCCTTTCTAGATGTAACAGTCATGGAAAAGAGCGGAGGTTTCCACACTGCAGTCTACACTAAGGAAACGAACATAGGAATGTGCCTAAATGCCAAAAGCGACTGCCCAGATAGGTACAAGAGGAGTGTTGTTAACGCATATGTCGACCGTGCTCTCAGCCACAGCTCAGAATGGAAGCAAGTCGACGAAGTACTCTGTAGGGTAAGGCAGGTCCTAATCAACAACGGCTTCTCCAATGGTTTCGTCGAAGACATCATAAGAAGGAAAGTGAAACGCTATGCAACCTCTGAAGAGACAACCAACACAACACCTATACCCCCTATTAGACTATTTTACAGGAACTTCTTTTCCACAGCTCATAAAACGGAGGAAAGGGTCCAGAAAGATATTGTTAATAGAAACGTTATCCCTACAGACAAAAATCAGAGGATACAACTGACGATTTACTATAAAACCAGAAAAACGGCCAGCCTACTCATGAGAAACTCTCCAGACACAAAACAGAACGCTTTAAAAGAGACTAACGTCGTCTATGCCTTCAAATGCCCTCTTGGGGACTGTAAGCTCCAAAAAAACCAGTATATAGGCAAGACAACAACATCTCTTTCTAGGCGTTTAACAATGCATAAGCAACAGGGCTCCATTAAGGAACATATAATCTCTTCCCACAACCAAACCATCGCCAGAGAAATCCTAGTAAACAACACAGAAATCATCGATAGATACAGCGATAGCAGGCGGCTTGACGTTTGCGAGGCATTACACATCAAGAAGTCAACACCAGCAATCGACAGCCAATTAATGCACAACTATATTCTACCCACCTCAAGACTCCGCTCCAATATAGAAGCATCAAGAAATTTGGACCAATAGGCTTTCTACAATCACTTCTATTCAATACCCATTGTTTCATGTTCTGGCTTGTGTTGATGAAATTAATACCTTATTAAATACCACCTCACCCCATCCACCTCACTCAAATGTAGATATAAACAAAATCGGAGATGTTCTATTCTATTCAGTAAGTTCTATTCAGTTGTGTATATGTTAACTAAAGTCTTTGAAAATGTAATAAGTTTTACGAAACGCGCTCAAGTGTAGCGTCAGACTAGAAATAAAAATGAATTTTGGAGAATTGATTTTTGAATTACCTCCAACAGTGAAAAGAAATGTACGAAAAATTGAGAAAATTCGTGTTAGAATTATTAATCTTACTTTTTCGGTCATATTTAATAATATATGTATACATATATATATATATATATATATATATATATATATATATATATATATATATATATATATATATATATGTCGTACCTAATAGCCAGAACGCACTTCTCAGCCAACTATGCATGGCCCGATTTGCCTAATAAGCCAAGTTTTCCTGAATTAATATATTTTTTCTAATTTTTTTCTTATGAAATGATAAAGCTACCCATTTCATTATGTATGAGGTCAATTTTTTTTATTGGAGTTAAAATTAACGTAGATATATGACCGAACCTAACCAACCCTACCTAACCTAACCTAACCTATCTCTATCGGTTAGGTTAGGTTAGGTAGCAGAAAAAGTTAGGTTAGGTTAGGTTAGGTAGGTTAGGTCGTCGAAAAAACATTACAAATCGGACCTTGCATAGTAGGCCGAGAAGTGTGTTCTGGCTACTAGGTACGACATATGTTTATATATATATATATATATATATATATATATATATATATATATATATATATATATATATATATATATATATATATATATATATATATATATATATATGTAATGTACCTAGTAGCCAGAACGCACTTCTCAGCCTACTATGCAAGGCCCGATTTGCCTAATAAGCTAAGTTTTCATGAATTAATTTTTTTTCGACTACCTAACCTACCTAACCTAACCTAACCTAACTTTTTCGGCTACCTAACCTAACCTAACCTATAAAGATAGGTTAGGTTAGGTTAGGTAGGGTTGGTTAGGTTCGGTCATATATCTGCGTTAGTTTGAACTCAAATTCAAACAAATTAATGCATTCATAATGAAATGGATAGCTTTATGATTTCATAAGAAAAAAAAAAGAAAAAAAATATAAACCCAGGAAAACTCGGCTTCTTAGGCAAATCGGGCCTTGCATAGTAGGCCGAGTACGACGTTCTGGCTACTAGGTACAACATTATATATATATATATATATATATATATATATATATATATATATATATATATATATATATATATATATATATATATATATATATATATATATATATATGTCGTACCTAGTAGCCAGAACGCACTTCTCAGCCTACTATGCAAGGCCCGATTTGCCTAATAAGCCAAGTTTTCTTGAATTAATATATTTTCTCTAATTTTTTTCTTATGAAATGATAAAGCTGCCCATTTCATTATGTATGAGGTCAATTTTTTTATTGGAGTTAAAATTAACGTAGATATATGACCGAACCTAACCAACCCTACCTAACCTAACCTAACCTATCTTTATAGGTTAGGTTAGGTTAGGTAGCCGAAAAAGTTAGGTTAGGTTAGGTAGGTTAAGTCGTCGAAAAACAATTAATTCATGAAAACTTGGCTTATTAGGCAAATCGGGCCTTGCATAGTAGGCCGAGAAGTGCGTTCTGGCTACTAGGTACGACATATATATATATATATATATATATATATATATATATATATATATATATATATATATATATATATATATATATATATATATATATATATATATATGTCGTACCTAATAGCCAGAACGCACTTCTATGCCTACTATTCAAGGCCCGATTTGCCTAATAAGCCAAGTTTTCATGAATTAATTGTTTTTCGACTACCTAACCTACCTAACCTAACCTAACATAACTTTTTCGGCTACCTAACCTAACCTACCCTATAAAGATAGGTTAGGTTAGGTTAGGTAGGGTTGGTTAGGTTCGGTCATATATCTACGTTATTTTTAACTCCAATAAAAAAAAATTGACCTCATACATAATGAAATGGGTAGCTTTATCATTTCATAAGAAAAAATTAGAGAAAATATATTAATTCATGAAAACTTGGCTTATTAGGCAAATCGGGCCTTGAATAGTAGACATAGAAGTGCGTTCTGGCTGTTAGGTACGACATATATATATATATATATATATATGTCGTACCTAGTAGCCAGAACGCACTTCTCAGCCTACTATGCAAGGCCCGATTTGCCTAATAAGCCAAGTTTTCATGAATTATTTGTTTTTCGACTACCTATATAACCTACCTAACCTTACCTAACCTAACTTTTTCGGCTACCTAACTTAACCTAACCTATAAAGATAGGTTAGGTTAGGTTAGGTAGGGTTGGTTAGGTTCGGTCATATATCTACGTTAATTTTAACTCCAATAAAAAAAATTGACCTCATATAGAATGAAATGGGTAGCTTTATCATTTCATAAGAAAAAAATTAGAGAAAATATATTACTTCAAGAAAACTTGGCTTATTAGGCAAATCGGGCCATGCATAGTAGGCTGAGAAGAGCGTTCTGGCTACTAGGTACGACATATATATATATATATAGATAGCGTGTTTCCAGGTTATATTATTAATAATAAGAATAAAGTAAAAAAAAATACAACATTGTATACGAGACTGCTCGCTGACAGATTTGAAAACATAAACCCAACCAACAAACTAGAGGACACATCTCCACAACAATGGCGAGACTAACCTGAACTTCAAATACGACATCCTTCTCTCTGGGCGTCCACAGCATTACGTAGGCGCCGTCCTGGTCGAGGAGAGCCCTGTGCTCTAAGTGAGGAAGCTTCAGCTCCTCGTCCACCCTAACGCCAAGAGTCGCGCCATGACATGCCACCAGAACCACCAAGGCTGTCCAACCCCAACTAGCCATCCTGGAAGGACAACAATTCCATTTTCTCTTTCAGAGATTGATCACCGTATTCTTTTAAGGACTTGCAGATATATATAATAAGTTTTTAAATGCTTGACTTGTTTACAATACCCATACCAAGTGTGAGGCAATAATATGATATTCATAATTGTGCTTTTAGCCATGATAGAATAACAACTGGTCCCAAAAACAACCAGTCGTGGTAACAAGCGGTCCTAAAGTTATTCGCCGACGTAGCAGACGATCCCAGACACAGTCAGAAATTTCTAACATATAGTGTCTTCAAGAATGATATTTTCTAAATTTTGATTAAAAATTGATACATATTACAATTGTATACAAGTTAGGTTGAGGTTAGTCGGTTAGGTTCTGTTGGGAATTATTTGTGCTTGAGTACGAGCGTGAAGCACTTAGAATGAAGCAATGATCGAGTACAGTTCAAACACTAGTAGTGAGTCGTGCAACCACTTGTCATTCATCAATACGTGGTTTGACAGCCGGATTAACGAGCATCTGGCCTTAGTATATGAGGATGGGCTGCGGGCTGTTATAGGAGACCCTCAACAGAGTACCTTCAATCTTTTCTTAAACAGCGCTGTGATCTATTCTTGCGTTCGAGTCACACCTCTGTAAATGCACCATAAACGTATTGCAAGCGTAAATAATTGCCAAAAGAACCATAACACCGAATGTCAGTTTTAACACAATAAATTAAAAGTGACTTGTGCATCTTAGGAGTCGGGTTTAGCTGGAACGCCAGAGCTTAATAACTGACTGACTCAACTGATCATACTCGAATCTTTTTTAGAAAAGTTTTTTTGCACTTTTCGAATTGCTTCACCAGTGAATTTTAATCCCAAATAATTTCTAATGGGGCAAAAACTAACTTTGGCCTATTATGCGTAATATTAATTTGTATTTTTAATAATATCATTAATTTCACCATCCTGAATTCTGAACATCTGCTCTTTTATTGAACATGGCCACTGGATTGAATGTCTTTGATGACTGGTTGGGCAAAAATACCAATACTCTTATAAGTTAATCGTCCATCACTTGGATAGAGAGAAGGTCCTGCTGCTCGTAGTGCTGGTTTTTAATCCCCGATGGTTCGAGTGGATAGTCTCTATTCCTTGACATCCTTTCCAGCTCCGTGTCCTCACATCCCTTCCAAGTGCTATAATAGTCAAACTTTCTTTAGCACTCTCCTCTCATAATTAAACTAATTTGGAAGCATTAAATGAAGTATTTCTGGCTAAACATCTATCTCTTTACTCTTCTCTATCACTTACAGTCGATCATTTTATAGTTATTGATTTATTTATGATGTGTTGTCAGTTATTTTGGTTGTGCTAGAGATACCGCCGATATCAGTGTGAGGGATCCGTTAGCTTCAAATGAACGGTTCCAACTCACATAAAGCAGTAAGATGTGCTAATACAATCTAACTGTTCGGCAATAGTCATTGACGCTACCTTTATCCTAGAAGGTCTTCCACCGGCGAGTGTGTGTTGTCGACGCGGCTCTCAAACTCACAATAAAACGCCATTAAAAAGCTATGGAGGCCGGCCAGGGAGCGCGAGGTGGACCTTGTACTGTGGAAGTTAACAGTCATCATTATTGTGTGAGAATTCTGGTGGTGATGGGGGAGATGGTTAAGGTTTCAGGAGAATATATAACCTTAGTTAATACGTGCGTTGTGGCCCATATATGGCCGGGTGTGTGGGTGTGGGTGTCCATAGATACACATTCTCTGCTTCGTAGGTGAGGGCTCACTGTGTCTCGTCTCTCCTCATTCAGCCAACTGATTTTTTGAATCCTAAGCCTTTGAGTTTTATTGTATCTGTTTTCAAATACATTTTATATTTATCTTCCTCCACTAATTATCTGCCCAACCACTTGGGCTGGAAGGAAGAGTGTCGGTCTCGCTTCATGCAAGTTTGGGTTCAATCCCCGACCCTCCACAAGTGGTTGAGCATCATTTCCTTCCCTCCCGTTCCAACCTCCCGTTCAAAATCTTTACCTGCCTCCTTCCCAGTGCAATATAGTCATAACGACTTTGTGCTCTCTCCTTATAGTTCCCTTCCCTTCCACTAATTGTCTCCGCAATACGATCACATTCTTGACCTACTCTGTGAAGACGTCTCGCTTCCTCATTATGGTACAAGGCTTCAACCTTCGCTCCTCATCCTGATCCCTCCTGTGTGCTCCGTGGGTCCTGGTTCCTCCAATGTGCTCTGTGAACTCTGTGAACTCTGTGCTGTTCCTCCATTGTTCTCTGTGAATACATGGGAGGGACCCACAGTCACACCCATGTGTTCGGTGGGTCCTGGTCCCTCCTATATGCTCCGCCCTCAACGTAGTCAACTAGGACGGTTGACGACGTTGACTACGTAGACGGTTGACTGGTTGACAACGTTCGCACTGCGACTATGAACTCATTCGTATAGGACTACATAGTCAACCATCCCGGTTGACTATGTAGTCACATGGATCCAGGATCCTTCAAGAAAGAAGGATCTTTCGTAGACCAGAATCCTTCATGAAACGAACAGAGAGAAAGATCTAGTAGTTGATATCACACCAAACCTGTCTCCTGAAGCCCACATAAATAGAATAACATCTGTGGCATACGCGAGGCTAGCTAACATTAGAACTGCCATCAGGGACATGTGTAAGTAATTATTCAGAACCTTGTATGCCACATATGTAAGACCAGTCCTGGAGTATGCAGCCCCAGCATGGAGTCCATACCTTGTCAAGCACAAGACGAAGCTGGAAAAGTTCAGAATGTGCATCTAGGCTAGTCCCAGAACTAAGAGACATGAGTTACGAGGAAAGGCTGCGTGAAATGCACCTCACGACACAGGAAGACAGGAGTAAGGGGAGACGATCACTACCTACAAAATATTCAGAGGAATTGATAGGGTAGATAAGGATAAACTGTTTAACACGGGTGGTACGAGAACAAGTGAACACAGGTGAAAATGAGTACCCAAATGAGCCTCAGGAATGTTAGAAAGAAGTTTTTCAGTGTCAGAGTAGTTAACAGATGGAATGCATTTGACAGTGATGTGATGGCTGACTCCATACTGTTACAAGATAGGCCTTACTGGTTCTGAGTCTATACCTGAGATGAGGACCACACAATGGCCACCGCCAGGGGTCTTTCCTACCACACACTTGGGTGCCACTGATCGCCCTGGGAGCTCGTGAGTTGTACCACAGGTAGAACCGCTACTAGTGATCTGGCCTGGAAATACGTTGTGGATGAAATACGTTAATGAGGACTGGGTTACAATTATAGGGGTTTAAATATTATCGTATTCTCGTTTTATGGTGTTAAACGAGAAATGGAGAAGATTTTATCTCTCTCCGTGACATTCGTGCGTGACTGAAGGAAATGTTACTACAGAACAATTTAGCTAATAACTCTCGATTTGAGATTATTGGGAGTTATATTATCCGTAAGTAATTATTTCACGGAATACTGATGATTTTTAGAGAACCACATTCAATTCTCTAACCCATTGGTAATAAATGTGTCTAACTAGACATTATCTGACATAATATTGTTGCTCTATTTCATGAGAATTCTAGCATTAATACGCATATGCTATGGTTAGTTTATGTTGACACTACTGTTAGTAAAATTAGTAACTACTGTAGTTAGTATATAATGATAATGATTTATTATAATACAATAGTAGTTTATTAGTGTTGGAAATTTCCAACATAACTCTGGGGGGAGAATTCTCGGGTCGCAGTGCAATGTTGAGTACTGACGTACCTATCCCGAAGTTAGTATTAATGTTAGTATGTTAGTACACACATAACGGATGTCCCGTAATTGTCAAGGACATACAAGAATTTTAAGTCTTGTAAAGAAACTCAAGTTGAATGAAACATGGAATTGTGAATCATCTAAAGTTAATGACTAATGAAGCTTACAATATACTCTGTGACTGGTGTCGCTATAACATGTAACGGTTATGTTACTAAGTCTTTGCAAACTCATAGATGCTCTTGAAGAAATAATGTTATAGTTGATAGCCTACATAAACAAATTAAAGATTAAATCATACAATTTAAAGTAACTGAGAATCCACTGTGAGGTGAATGTCTTGGGTCATTGTGACTGGTAACTGATTTGTTACTTGACATCACAACACAGTATCATCATGATTACTCAAATTGGATGGGAAATTATTTGCTCTTGGTCAGAGCTATAATAGGCTTGTAGTTTCCGTTTGCATTGTTGAGCAGCTGCTCTAGTGGGGCGGGTGCTCGGTGGAACAGAATTGAAATATTAAATGATTAAGTTATCTGCAATCAGGAACGCTCTAAAGCTTACAATAAACTCAACAACTAGGGTCGCAGTGACATGTAATGGTGTATTACGTAGTTGTTGAATCGTAGGCAAACAGAAAAAGTTCCTAAGAACTGATAACATTATTGTATAAGTTGTATTCTACATTATTATACAGTAAAGTATTATTGGGTCATTCAAGTTCAAGGAGACTCTAACACTACAGTAAGGTCACTGTCTAGGGTCGCTGTGACTTGTAACTATTGAGTTACTAGACAATAACATCACGGAGCATCATGATCACCCCAAAATCAAATGAGGAAATTTGATTTAATATGCACTGCCGTGCAGTAGTCATTCTGACTGATGGTATAACTAAGTTGCTAACTAGCTAAATTAGTGTTGTATTAGAGAACTGAAAAGGTTTATTCATTAAAATCAAGGAAGATTCTGAGTCGACAGTGAGATTAGTAGCCTAGTCATTCTGACTCATGAGCTAATTGAATTGCAGTTCATAGGCTTGACACTGTAAACTCATTAATACATCCTCAACCTTCAAATGAGAATTGAGTTTATTAATTCAGTCTCATTAAGTATAGTCAACTGTAATTAGTTGCGAGTACAAACTAGGCTATTACTCAGTTGACACTAACTAAAGTCCCTAAACCTACCTAAATAAATGGTTTAAATT